ATATATATATATATATATATATATATAGAGGTACGGATGATATGGTATCGAGAGACCTAAAGTCCCTGTCCAAGCCGGCGATCTCGATCTCTCTCTCTTTCTCTCCCTTCTCCCGTTGTTTTCCTCCTCTCGATTACGTCGTGTCGGTAATTGTATCATACACCCTTTGAGTGTTTCCGATTTCTTCCTTGCGGGCAGTCTCTCTTGCAGGAGGTAAATCCCTATTCCTCGAGGCTTCTTTTCTACTGTAAGAGCTTCAATATGTTGGCTTATTAGGGTTGAACCCGTCCCCTTCGACTGATGCCCTTCTGCAGTAGTAAGTTGGATTTAGGGTTTTGGTTTTGTTATTTGGTATCGACGTCAAAGTTGTAGTCCGTCTTCTGTCAGCAAATTTAGGATCACGACGCCGTACTAATATCATCCGTACTGCTGCTTTTCAAGATTACACAATCATGCTATCTTCCGTCATGTCAATTATCTCCAAAGGCCTTAGTTTTGTCAATTATTCCCTTTTACTTTTGCCCTCTTTCCTCCTGTATACTTAGGTTATTGTTTTGTTTTGGATATGGAATTTGATTTTCTCTACCGAGGACCGAGTCTATTTTAGTCGCAATCATCCCACATCTGTTTCAGTATCATTCTTGCGCACTATATTTTTGTGGACCTTGAGAAATCCTAATTAGATCAAATCTTCAATGAATAGGTTAATACCTTTTGAAGTTGATATTTTGGTCACTATTTTCAATTTTGATGATGAAATCAGCCTTTTGTTTTGTTGGAACAGGTAAACAAGTCGTGAAGAATGGTTGGTCGAAGAAAAATATCTATGGGTATATCCAAACTTATTGGGTTGAAGGCTACTGTTTTGCTGTTGGCATTTTACTTCACCAGAAAACTTGGAGTAAACTTGATTCCTGTACCCCTTCTATATGCCTCCTTGGTTGCATATTTAATTGCCATTGCATCTCATCCAGCAGTGAATCTTCCCCTGCTTTTAGGAAAGAGCTCTGATGGGATCTTTCCACTCTGGTCAATGATTATATTTGGGCCTTTTTTGTTCTTTATTCGGTTATTTGTGCCTTTGAGAAGATGGAAGAGTCGGGAACCACTGTATAGTGAAATTTCTGAAGGTTTGTATGTTGGAGGTTGGCCTTCTTCCTTGGAACACTTGCCCCCTTGCAGACCTGCAGTGATTGATTGCACATGTGAACTACCACGGAGCTCTGCACTTCCAAATGCATATTTGTGTGTTGCTACTTGGGATACGAGAGCACCTCAACCATCACAAATTGAGTCGGCAGTGCGTTGGGTGTGCAGAAAAAGGACTCAGAATGTTCCTGTATACATCCATTGTGCTTTTGGTGAGTATCCTATTGTCTGAACTTGCAGAAAAGATGATAACGAGGAGTAAATAATCTGGCCAACTAGTTTGTGCATGGACCAAATTTTTATTTCAATCTGACTAATTATTTATGTTACATTAGGAAACACCCCTGCATCGCAAAGGATGGTCTAGATCTTGAGATATATATTCTTGGATAGTTTATCTAGTGATTTAATCAGAAACTAAGATATATTATTAGCATGTAGCACTCCATGCTGATCTTCCATAAGTCAAAATATAAGGAGCAGATGTGTCATACATGAGACTGCTGCAAGTACTCATTAAGGAAGAAAATGTATAATATTAGTTGATTGAATATGACAAGTAGTTTGGTGAACAAAAAACACCATATTTCATCGCCTGCAATTCTGAAATTAATGGTGGTATACAGAGAAGTCTTGTTACATTTGAACATAAGATGAAGCCCTTCCTTAGATTATATAAATTGTTGCCAATGTTTAATTAATCTGTACTGTTTAAACGCCTCTTGAAGTGTCTGATTGTGTAATGTGAATACAGCATATACAGGACATAGGATAAAATAGTGTTTTGTGTTACATGATGCTTATGAATTGTTGTTCTCTGAATTTGATTTAATCAAAATTTAAAATTTCTCATCTTTTCTCATCTTTTCAAAATTTAAAATTTCCTTAGCTAGGATTTTCCCTTGTTTGCCATAATTCATTTTCAAATTTTTGATTCAAAAATAGGAAAATGATTGATTTCACTTCCATTTGGTGGTACCTGTTTAAGTAGGATATTGAAATAAAATATTTAATTTTCTTAGGTAGAAAAATTTGATATCTAAAATTTTTTTAGGTAAGATTTTACCTTATTTGCCATGATCCATTTCCTAGATTGTCATTCAAAATTAGGGAAATGATATATTTCGCTTCTGTTTAGGTAGGATAATTAGATAAAAAAATTAATAATGACAAACCTCTTGCTCTCTAAATATTAGAATTAAATATTTTATTTCAATATCAGTTTGTGCTCAAATGAAAGTGAAATTTAAATTATTATTTTTTCCTAATTTTGAATCACAATCTAGGAAATAGATTATGGCAAAAACTGGTAAAATCTTAAGGAGATTTTAATTCTTCGAAAGATGGGATAAAATCTGTTTTGATTACATTTGAAATATTAGAAGATACATTTCTAAAAAGCATTAGAAGGAAACTAGTCACTAATTTATTTTGTCATGGTTCCTGTATTGCCCAATTTCCACCAAAGGATCTATCTCAATCATGTGGATTATGTTTGCAGATATTGATGTTAAATGAGTACTTATCTACAAGACAAACTCACAGTGCAAACAATGCCGCTTCTTGCAAACTTAAGCATTTTTTAATGAATTGCAAAGAAAAAGGAAGCTTTGGCTACTTCTTGGTTTTTTTTGTACTAGGAAAATGTCAGCTTATGTCAAATTGTTTGTTGGAGTTCAATGCAATTTACTTGTAATACACTTCTGATTTTCTATTTCCTATTACTTTTGCCATGTCTAAGGCACTTCTAGATGGTTTGTGATGGGTTGTTTCAAATAATTGTAACTGGTATGTCATCCCCTCATAACATAGCATCTTACAAGGTGTTGAGATATACAATTGTGATAACTTTTTTTAGTGTTGCTGCAACTTGTAGACTAAAGTTGCTTGTATAAGTTAGTTGGTCATATGTGCTTGTTTACTCTTTGACACTAGTGCTTCTGCATCTGTTTCTGTTTTAGTGTTTCAATAAATTTGACTCTGATGGTTGTATTTCTATCATTTATATCATCATATTACAACAGATTTTGGCTCCATATCTTCCTTCTATTGTTGGGATGGGAGACCAGAGGTTGGTGGTTACATGGCAAATTAGTAAATGATGAATTTGATAATTGCAGTAAATGACACATTTCGTGGTGGGATAATCTTTTCTAAATTCATCGTTAATGTCACACATCTCATCTTCTAACTTTCCTATTTCCTCCTTCCACTCCTTCCCCTTGTTTTTTTTTTTCTGTGGATATCAATTGGCTTAAATTGCCTAAAACATATTAATTCTGATTGAATTAGACTGATGCAAGCCAATTTCAACCTAAACCAGCTAGAATCAGATCAACCTTGGATGAATATGATATGGATCAAGCATATCATATTGAAATTGATTGATGTCACAAATAATGATTTAGCTAATAAAAGGCATAGGGTGATGGATTATTCCATCTGCAGACTCTAAAAGGAAACAAACTAATTGGATAAACTTTTTTAATGTCCAATCATTTAATCCTATTAAATTAAACTAAAACCAATGGTATAACCTAATCAAATTTTTGATTGAATTTTGATAAGCTTCATCTGTATCCAGCTCCATTTCTTCGGCTGTAGTTGTACTTGCATAACTTCAACTCAATTCTGACAATGGGAACCAGAAATACAAAGTTTGGTCTGCACCTTCTTCGTTAAGACCTTTTTAAACTAGTAGTTACTTGAAGTGCTACCATGTAAATCTCTTCTTGTTCATGTTTTCATGAATATGTCATCGTTAGTGTGCAATAATATATAAAGAACCATTTACTTTGCAAGTGGTGTCTAGGATGATGTTTTCTGATATTCTGAAGCACTAACACAATGGATTATAATTTTCTCGATACTATTGTCTTAAATGTATTATATATGTTGTATCTACTTATGCCTCACCAGATCACTTTTGACATGCTTAGAGGACCTTAACAGTACCATGGATTTGACATGAAAGTTAATTGTCTTGGAACATTCAACAGGTCATGGTAGAAGTGTTTGCGTGATGTGTGCCGTTCTTGTCGCACTAGGTCTGGCTGAAGATTGGAGAAGTGCAGAGAGGATTATTCGAGAAAAACGGCCGAGCATCGAAATGAATGATCTTCACCGCAAAAGCTTGGAAGAATGGTCAAGACATCGGCTTCCATCGAAAAGAGATGGAGTATCAGTTGTCAGTTCTGTGATTCTATCTGAAAGAAAACACAAGGTGTAGTATCCGACAACAATCTATATATCCTTATTTCAGAATTTAGGGCTAAAACTGAAAACAGTCAGCTGTATTCATATCTGAATCTTCGTTCCCCATCTGTAAACATTTAATCAAGCTGCTGATGTTAATTTTTACCTTTGAAGGTACGAACCACTAAATATGCAGCTGAAATAGCTGCAATTTAGATCTTCATTTTTTCTGTATATATATATCACATTTCGAATAGACTCCAACAATGTCGATTCAGTGACCAAATCATATGGATATTGTGGTATGTCAGATTGAAGTAATCATTGCAAAATGAACAGAAATTACGAAAATTATGCATACATTTAAATGAATACTTTAGAATTTATAATATAATTAACTTATCTTTTTATCTATGTCGTGAATATCTTTGTGCATTTGGCTGTTCCATCTATGATCGGTGATCAAGTTGCAAGCAGATGCATTGAAATTATTCCTCGGGTCCTGATCATTGTAGCTTATCATGTATGATGAATTAGATTGTCCATGTGTGGTCTTTTATTTTTTCATCTCAACTTTTCAAAATACTATGTAAATTGGCTCCATAGCGATCTTTGCCAATACATACGAGAATAACGAAGAAATGATATAGATACTCACCACATCTTTTCCTAAGACGAACTGGAAAAACGAGAGTTGCTCCAATCGTTGGATGTGGATATGGTCTTAGTTCAATCTTCATAATGTTTGTGACAACGGATGATATCGAGTCATTTGTGAACTTCTACATCAAAACATGCTGTTCTAGATGTACTTGGTTTCTTGATGCTTTTGTGATTATTGTCCATTGACATATTATTAATTAATATGAGAATAATGATATGACTGATATCTCATACTCATGAGATTGATATTTTAACTCTACCTTGATATCATATGTCCAATACTTTATTATCATACTATTGATATCTTAGTATAGTATGATTAATATCTTAATATCATGTGGTCGACATCTCAATGCTATTTAATTTATCTTTTAGAATCACGTGGCAGACATTTTATTATCACATGATCGACATATTAAGACTACGTGATCGACACCTTAGTGCCTCATGTCGAATCGTGAGGTCAATTTCATATCTCAGATTGAACACATCGTAATTGTATTTAACTTTGAAAGGGGCATACCACCTTTCCCATAATCGGCATTAATGTGAGAGTAAGTATATTGGAAGCTCAATCTGTCGTTAGAATTCAACATATATATATATATATATATATATATATATATATATATATATATATATATATATATATATATATACCCTGACATAATTTTACAAGGTTTGGCACCAACGAGTTTGGTGTCAACTGAAATCAACTTGAGCCAAGGACCTCGATTGGTTTTGAATTAGCATCCAATTCAACCAATAAAAAATTGATTTAACAATTTGAGTTAGTTCCTGATACCAATATGTCTAAATCTTCGAAGAGATAATTCCCAACATCAATATGATCGAACCCCTAAGAGATGGTTTAGCATAGTTAAATCCCCCGAAGAGATGACTCGTGACATGTAGAACCCCTAAATAAATAGTTCCTATCATCATCATGAATATTGAAAGAGATAGTTCTCGATACCAACATGACGGACGTTTGAAGAGATGGTTTCTGATATTATTTTAGTTTAACCTCTAAAAGGTTGCTCTATGTACCAACATAGCTGAAACCCCAAATGGCGGTTCATGACACCAACCGCTACAGTTGCTGATCACTATTTAGGACGATAAAGAGTTAAGGCAGCGTGATAGAACCGTTATTGCAACTTGCCGTTTATAAAGTGAAGCGTGGCCAAGCAGCACTCTACGAGCTTGGAGCTGTAGTGCTTTATGCCTCGACAAGTCGTGGCCCGATATTATCAAGTCATCAAGATGCATCGACAAGTCAACATTATCATTGTCTAAAGAAGATAAGGTTCGTCATGACTTACAATAGCATAGTACAAGTACCACAACCACGCGATCGTGAGCTGTAGTCTGCTTCAACGTGATTGCTGAGGTTTCAAGCCAAAGCAAATAGACTCAGACGTCTCTAAGGGAAGTATTTCTTGACTTAAATAGTCATTATATATATATTCACTGCTTTTATGGCTCATCTCATAAATGCTTGAGGACTAACTTGGCAAGGCTAAAAAAAATTAACTAGGTTGACCAAAAGCATGGGGTGTCCATCGGTATAATCCAAATCATGTCTTATGTGACCATATCTATTATAAAGTAGTATCTTTCTTGCATAAGAGGTATGATCAAAATAGTTCAAAGTGTTTCATTTGATGATAACATGATCGAGATGACTTGAAATACTCGCTCTAACGATAGCACAATTGAAACAACTCGTTTTTCGATGATAACGTGATCAAAATGACTCAAAGTGCTATCTCTGATGACATTGTGATCAAAATAACCTAAAGCATTCCCTTCGACAATAGTATGATCGAAACAACTTGAAGCGTTTTATTCAACGATAGCACGATCGAAATAGCCAAAAGTACTCTAACACAATAATAACGATATGAAATACTCTAACACGATCGAAATACCAATGACTAAAACATTGGTATCATACGACTGACACCTCACTGCCAAATTATTATAGACTTAGGTAGTTTTATCTAAGTTATGTTACACCCTTGTGCGTTCGTCTACAAAGGGTTAGCTTTCTCGAAATCTCTTATGATCCCTTATGGACCTATAAAAGAGAAGACGAGTTAGAGAAAAAAATTAACTCGAGATTCACAAGCAGTCATTTCAGCAAACACTTCATAAGTAATGTAAATTATAAACATAGACTTTGCAAACTCTGAACAATCATACGATAAAGGGTTTAAGATGGTTTGCCACCACTAAAAGTCCCCACAAGTGCCCACATAACACTACTGTGGAATAAGGCAATGAATCAACCCTAGACACTATGCCAAAGGCCCATCCAGCCTCGTGCCACCTAAGTAGCTCCTAGGTTAGCTAATACTCTGTGCCACTCTATGGAGCTAGAGAAGCCCTAAAATGGTTGCTTGGATGGTTTATTTCTGGGTAATTTTACTTCTGCATGATGACTGCACATAACCTATGTTTACAAGTCAGAAACAACTACAAAAGTCAATCAAAATAGAGCTACCAAGCCTACTATAAGCCCTTTACATGCTATGTAAAATATGAATAAAACCAAAAGATATAGACATATATAAACATTACATCGAATACTTTGTTTATAACTTTATTCATAATATTCTCCATTACTTATTCCTTCGATGTCCTCATCAAAGCACTACATCTCTTTGTCTTTGCTGAATATTCCATATTTTGCTTTAGTTGTAATGCACCTCTTAGCTCCTAACTATACTCTACCACTATTATTGAGTAATCGAGCGTTAATCAGTTATACTGCCTCAACTCGCCAATAACTCTGACTATGGTGTGGGGTTGGCCGAGTTGTGTTAATCCTTGTTGGTTCCTATGGATTCTTTAGATGAAAGAAAAGACCTTTCTTATTATACAATAGTCTTTCAAGCATCTCATACCGCTTGAATTGAGTGGATGCTTGTTGGAGCTTTAACGAGCATCGACTCATAGACTTAAGTTTTTGGAGTCTTTACTTTACAAAATTTGTCCATCGACTCCTCTTCTACTTAGTTGTTACCTTTATGTGGGTTCACATTACTTTTATTTTCAATTGGCATTCTGTTGAGAAATGAAGTTGATAATTTATTCTCAATAGCATCGACCACCATTAGCGAGGATTTGACAATTATTGTCTTCCACCAGTTTCTTCGAAAGGTCTTTGAATATGTGCAGAGCTCCTCTACTAGATAAATAAGAGAATTGAGATACTCTATTTCACCCATTCTCTTAAGAGTTAAGAAGACAAAGGTTAATTAACTTCGCTTGCATCTTTGAGGGTTGTACGCCATGCATTGAGCTAGTTACTAGTCTCCACCTACTTTTTACTCATACTTCCGGAACACTTAAAGTGTTAGCACTCCTTGTGTGTTAACTATTACGATTTGCCTTTTTATTGCCATTAAACATCTAGAATGCAAGAAGTTTCACAAAAAAATAGCAAAATTTTATCCCAATTTGGAGTAAGTCTCCAAGGTCCCCTTTAGGACTGTATCGTCTTCTCTATTGCTTACTCCTTTAAGTAGAAAAGTATAGCACCACGTACTGCCTACTTTATTAGCTTTTAGCACAATCTAACCACATATCTGGCATAATTATTAGCTTTCAGCACATTGTACGCCATTCCTGCATGTCATTCGATCTTCTAGTACTTTGTCCAAACCTTTAGTATATCGTCCTTTCCTTTGGTATATCGTTCGATCTATCGACATGTCAACTTTTCCATGGTATCCAATCTTTTGGCGCAATACATGATCCTTCCAATACAATGCTCAAACTTATAGCACGAAGTCTAATCTTCGGCACGTCGACTAATCCTTCGGCTCAATGTCCAATTTTCGATATGATACTTTTTCTAGCATAATGTCTGATTCTCCTACTTCAACAGTTTGCATTTTAATAGTTCGAGTCCGTGATCGAAGTATTTCTTATGTCACTTATCTCAAAAATATATTAGTCCATAAACTTATCAATTAATTTCATCATCAAAATATGAGATTCAATAATGCTCTCCCTCAATGACAGCAAGGGATCGATGACTTCTCGAAAGTTCCACCTCTACGATACCATAGCACGGACGTACCTATGGTCCTACCATCTATTGTCTTGCATCTGTATCCCTTTCTTCGTAATCAGTAGATATGCTTCTACAGTATTACAACACTCCTCTGAGTCAACTTGCATTCTAATCAACGCTTAGTTTTAAGTAGTTGAGTCCCTTTGGACTCATTATCATTTCCTCGCCCATTTCAACCATTTTCTTCAACACCTTTGAGTTCTCTGAGCAATTCCCCTTAGTTGATGGAAAGATATACTACAACTCCAATGCATGGCCTCCACCATCATGTTATAGGGCTTACATTGATTTTGTTCCATTCTTATTCCTTGGTAGCAATGTTTGCTTACTCGGTTTTGTCCTCTGACTTAAGTGAATATGAGCTCTAGAGCAATCTAACTCTCCAGTTGCTCTGATTATACCTCTATATGATCAAGCCCCCTATGAGACTCACTAGTACGTGCACCCCTTAGTTGTACACAGCCTCTATATGC